CCCACCCTCACTCCTTGGATCCTCATACATGTTTTACTAGTTATCTTTCCATTTCTACAATAATTATGTAATATTTGTCCATATGAGACTGAGTTAGCCTAATGCTCTCCAGTTTCTCCCAAATTGTAGAGAACTTTCCTAAATCATTGCTCCTGAGTGCTTTGTAATATTTTATCATGTGAATGTACCACAATTTCTCAATTTGCTTGTGATTGGACATTGGCTGTTTCCATGACTTGCAATAGTGAATACGAATGCTGCTGTGAACATTGGTGTATAAATCTCCATTTGTGTCTTAGTTCTAATTTCCTCAGGATTTATTCCTAGTAGTGGAGTAAGGTAAGTAATAAGGAATTTTTGTGTTCAGCTTTTTGAGGAAATGCCAAACTGCCAGAGTGGCTGTACCATTTTGCAATCCCACCAACAGTATATAAGAGTTCCTATCCCTCCACATCCTCTCCAACATTTATTACTTGCTGTCCTGTTAAATTTTGCCACTGCTACTGGAGTAAGATAGTATCTCGTTGTGGTTTTTATTCTAATCTCTTGCTGCCAGTGACTTTGAGCATTTCTTCATGTGTCTGTTAGCCATCTGAATGTCTGTCTTTGTGGAAATTCTTTCCATGTCTTTTACCCATTTTGTAATTGTGTTATCAGTCTTTTTCTTCTGGAGGCTCTGTAATATTCTGTAAACGTTTTTTATGAGACCCTTGTCTGAGATGGGATTACAAAATGTTGTTCCCATTCAGTAGGTTTTCACCCTGTCAGAAAAAGTTTTATGTACACAGGGATTTAATCTTTAGAAGGTCCTATTCATCAATTTTATCCTTGTCTGGTTGTGTATTTCTGGCTGTATTTGTCAACCTTTTTACACCATGGGCTTAGCCTTCTAAGCTGATCCTACTTGTCTCTTCTGATCTTTATGGTTTGGGGCTTTATCTCTATATCTCTGATCCATCTTGAGTTGATTTTTATATATGATGAGAGGTGGGGATCCTGCTTCTGCCTTCTATAGGTAGTAGTCCAGTTTTGCCAGCACCATTTGTTGAAGAGGTTGTCATTTCCCCATTTGATAGATTTTGTTTCCTTGTCAAATATCAGTTGACTATAGATAGATAATGGAAGCAGGAGTGGCATCCACTTCCTAAACAACATGCCTCCAGAAACTCTATGAACTTTGGTAAATGTTGGTAATTGTAGGGGGGCTTCAGGCCTTTTGTTCATAGGCTCACTATGGGTCATGCTCAACTTGGAGGCAGTCAATAACAACAACATTGATAAGTTCATTTCTGGGTTGTCGATTCTGTTTCATTGGCCTAAGTGCCTGTCATTGCACCAGTACAATGCTGTTTTGGTTACTACCACTGTATAGTAGGTTTTGAGGTCAGGGAGTGCTATGTCTCCCATTTCTGTTTTTTAGAAGTGCTTTGCCTATTCAGCGTCTCTCTCTCCTCTCTAAATAACCTTGACAATTTTCCTTTCAATCGCCTTGAAAAGTGAATTTGATATTTGGATTGCGATTGTGTTGACCATGTAGATTCCTTTTGGTAGGACTGTCATTTCATGATACTGAGTCTTCCTATCCATGAACAGGGTACATTTTTCTATTTTTTTAGGTTTTTTATTGTGTCTTGCAGAAATGTTCTGTAGTTTTCTTTGTATAGGCCTTTTGTGTCAAGTATCTCAATTTGTGGCTGCCTATTTTAAATTATATTGCTTTCTTATTTTTCTTCTCTGTGCTTTCTATTTTACTGTAGAGGAATCCCACAGACTTGTATATTGATCTTATATCCTGCCACTCTTCTAAATTGATCTACCAACACTAACAGGGTTTTTGTTTAGTCTTTGAGCTTTTCTGTGTACACTATCATATCATCTGCATATGGAGACAGTTTCACCATTAAAGAAATCTTTTGATGCAAATTAGGATTTAATTTTAAGAGGTTTCAGTCTTCTAATGTATCTTCTTCTGATTTTACATTTTTAATTATATATAGTAGTCTACTTATGATGTAGATTAGGGTTTTTAAGTTTCCCTAATTTGTTCTTTTATAATATTTATAGTTTTAGGTTTTACATACCTAAGTTCTTGGTCCATCTTAAGTTAATGGGATTTTTTTTGAGGGGGGTGGTTATACCGTGAGAGGTATAGGGCAAACCTAGGGAGGAAATGGGAAGGGTATGATTACATTGTGAGTATTCAAATTAATGTCAAAGAACAAAATATGACTGAATAATTAAATGACAAACTAGTTTCCTTCGTAAATGTAAAAGTAGTGAACACAACATGGGGATGGCTGACTCTGACTTCTTGGGGGTTTTTTTTAATTATTTCTTTAAAATTTATTATTGATTTCAATGAAAATTTACAGAGACGTTGGATTTACATTCATTCGTTGTTGCACTTTTCTCCCCTCCCAACCCTCCCCGCCTAGTACACTACCCTCTTGGAAAAGTAAAACAAAAATTCTTTCATTGTTTTACAATCCCTCCCCCCAGGTCCACTCCACTATACAGCCTTCGCTCTGGACTCCTGTCATGACAAAATTCCCTAATAATTTTCCTTCTTAAACAATTTTCTCCTTCATCTGTTTCAATGCAGTATACATTATTGAACCCATCCTTCTCTGACTCTGACTTCTATCCACTTTACAAAGGGGAACTGTCCCCATCAATAACATCCATAGCAGTAGACAGATAGCCATGTGCCCTTGGGTTGGCAGCACAACTCCTTACCATTAGACCACTAAAGCCATTGAATTGTAGGAATTCTTTACATAGTCTGGCCTCTAAACTCTTAATACCATAAATTTCTCCAATCTGTACATTCTTTCTTTACCTTATTTCCCACCTCCTTTTCTTTCTTTATCTTCTTGATAAAGTCCTCTGATTCACAAAGATTTTTCATTTTGAAGCCAAATTTATCTATTTGTTTCTGTTACCTATGATTTTGGTGTTATGACCAAGAGGTCTTGCCAAAAACAAGGTCTTGAAATATTAATCTGTTTTCTTCTGAGAGTGTTAGTCTTTCAAGACTTGAATTTAGATACCTGATCCACGTTTATTTCATTTTTGTCTACGGCATGAAGTATGGATAAAATTTCATTTCTTGATTGCGGATATCCAGTTGTCCTACCACCATTTGTTGAAGAAATGTTCTTTCCTCATGGTTGGACTTGACACCTTTGTTGGAAATCAAATTGATCATATATGTGTACATTCTTTAATGTTTGCTTCTTCCACGGTTCCTTTGAATGCTATTACTCAGTTCAATGAGTCCTCTGACCATAAGAAGCTGTGGATATTTGAGAAAGTAACCCCTTGGAAATAAATGTTCAGCATGTTATGGTCTTCTGCCATTATGTGTTGCTATTTATTATCACTCTTATTCCCACGAGGAGAGTACGCAGAGGCTTGTAGACAGTTAAGTGTCATGCTTCAGCAGCCACAGTCATGCTAACAGCTGAATGAGTCTCCTTATTTTAAAAAATGAAAAGTAAATATCAAGTTCATTTGCACTAGGCCCGTTTTCATATTTCTTCCATTGGAGTTCAGAACCTTAATAAACCTTGGCTCAGTGTAAAGGAACTAGGAAAGCATATTTACTTTCCTATCTTTATTTTTTCCCCTAAATCTAAGTCTTAGATTTTGCTGGCAAGGGCTATATTGTTAGAAGCTAAATATAATTTTTAAAGGAGAAAATTGTATTTATTATCTTATATTTCCCCCCTAAGAGAAAAAGGATTTCTAGGACTTCAGAAGGTAAGATCCAGTGATGAGTTTAGACTGGGATGGTAGTCATCTAAAGTATGACTTGCTGGAGGGTGTTTCAGATGAAAGAAAAAAGAAGGCAAAAGGCCTGGCTGAGGGGAGTAGGCAGATTCCTGGTCAGAGCTATTTGTTACCTTGTGGCCATAGAAAAGCTTTAAGCTGTGAACAATAGTATAAAAATAGCAAGGACCACATAGGGGTGGCCATATTTGACCTTTACTAACTTCACAAAGGGTCCCCATCAACAGCATCAATAACATAAAACGAATTCCCATGAGGTCAGACATGTCCCACTCACTCCTGTACCTCTTTCTACTCATCTCACCAGCAATTTTACTGCTTTACTGGGTCCAGAATCTAATGTAATAGCTCACAGACCGCACAAAATCATTCTGAGAAAGTCTAAAAGCTATAATTCAGGTTAGTAGCAGAACACAGTCAAAACAGCTCCAGAAATGTGCTTATAGGAGCCTCAGCCTTAAGCTTCGAGGCTTTAGGGTCATGTTACAAAGTTCTCTGTCCTGCCACACCTCACCCCCTAATTGTCCAACAAACTTGGGTAAGAACCCTAAACTTAGTTCTGGTCTGTCTATGTAGCAATCCCAAGGTAGCTCCATTTCATGTTGGTTCTCTGGTTTGGCCACGGCTGCTGCTGTTGCTGTTAAGTGTACTTGCATCAAGAATTTCTAGGCCCAAAGGATGTGCTACATTCTCTTCCTTCTTTGTTGGTTAGGAAGATGATCCTTTTCCTGTTGCTGGATCACTAAATTAATAGTGAGACTAACCAACCTTCCTGTAGATTGATGAGACTGGTCAATTCCTATATGGATTGGTAAGATAGCCAGTCCCTTTTTGGATAGGCTAACACACCCTACTCACATATCCCCACCCATTCACATGGTAAAGTTAGGCAATGGCTAGGAAAGTCATATTGAAAGAAACTCTTAAATCTACAGATAGCCATAAAATTGTAGGCAGCACATATGTGTATGTGTATGTTTGCAGGGTGGTCTGTAACACCCATTCATTTCACAAAGGAACCTGTGTCTTTTCTCTCTTTTTCCCTATAAAAAAATGGGTCACTTCTTTTGAAAGCTTGCAAAGTAATTTATTCTGACACAAATGAGATGAGATTTGTTGACTTGACTTTTATCCTGAGAGACTTTCCATGAAGAGTTTACCTATCTTTATGCCCAGCCAGATTTATCATTTTTTCTTTCTCATCCTAGGCCAACACTGGACAAATTGATGACCTCCAAGAGCAGCACAGAGTCATCACCAGTAACCTTGCCCTCGTTCAGGTAAATCTTTACTTTATTTGATTAAGGAAGCTTCTTCCCATTTTTTAAATCTGCAGAAGGTCTCCAGATAGAAATGGTAAAGTCTAAGTGAGCTGACATCCCTGTACTTAGAGCCCACAGATACCACAATGGGCACTACCATGCCCTCCAAAAGTAGATCTCTCTCCTTTTTACCTTCCAAGCCAAGGTTCTTATTTGCCTAAACTTTTTTCCCTTCTTCTTTTTTTAATTTTATACTAGTTTATTTACAAAATTCAAATACATTGTTTTTGAGAATAGATTCTTCAAGTTTCCTTCACCCCCTCACCCATCAAATTATACAACTTCATGATCAATCCCCTCCTTCCCCTGCACATCCTCATCCCTCTGCTTCCATGTCCCCCCACTCATTCTACAATAATGGTTTTGTACAGTATTTGTCCTTGTGGGACTGAGTTCACTCTGTATAATGCTGTCCAGTCCCTCCCAAGTTAGATTTACAAAATAATTTTTCCTGCATGCTGCATAGTATTCCATTGTATCAAGTATTCCATTGTGTGAATGTACCATAATTTTTCAATCCATTGATTGTGGTTGGACATTTGGGCTGTTGCAATGGTGAATAATGCTGCTGTGAACATTGGTGTACAAATATCTTTGTGCCTCAGTTCTCATTTTCTCAGGGTATATTCTAAGTAGTGAAATAACTGGGTCATATGGAATTTCAGCTTTTTGAGAAAGTGCCACACTGTTTTCCAGAATGGTTGTACCATTTAACAATCCCACCTACAATGTATAAGAGTTCCTTTTCTCATCACATCCTCTCCAACATTTATTACTTGCAGCCCTGTTAAACTTTGCCACTGTTTCTGGAGTGAGATGATACCTCTTTGTGGTTTTGATTTGCATATCTCTTTTTGCCAGTGATTTTGAGCTTTTCTTTGTCAACTATCTGAATGTCTTTCTCTGTAAAAATTCTTTCATTGTCTTTTTCCCATTTTGTAATTGTGTTATCAGTGTTTATCTTGTGGAGGCCCAGGAGTATTTTGGAAACTTTCATTATGAGACTCTTGTCTGAGATGGTATTACCAAATGTGTGTTCTGAGATTTTCTTTGCATCCTGTTGGAAAAAAATTTTGATGCACACACGGATTTAATCTTTAAAAAGTCCCATTCATCAGTTTTACCCTCTTCAGGTTGTACATTTTTGGCTGTATTTGGCAGTCGCTTTGTACCTTGGACTGGCACTTCTAAGCTTGATCCCAGTTTGTCTTTTATGAACTTTATGGTTTGGGGTTTTACTTCCAGATCTCTGATCCACATTGAGTTTATTTTTGTGTATAGTGTGAGATGTGGATCCTGTTTCAGCTTTCTGCAGGTAGCAGTCCAGTTTTGCCAGCACCATACTTGCTAGCATCTCTTTTTTAAAGCCTGTATAATACAAACTGGCTTCTCTTCCTAACATTTTTACTCAAAACGCACATGTTTTTAGGACAGATTCTGAACTAATGCTCCTGTGGTAGCCTATTAGACATAATCTTAGGTGTAATTTTCTTTAAAATAATATTTTATTGTGTTTTACATAAAAGTTTCTACAGTATAGTGAGTTCCCATTGACAGTTTTATATGCAATTATTCAATGATTTAGTTACATTTTTCACATGACAGTGTTCTCTTTAATTGTATTCTGGTTATTCCATGTCTAGTACTTTAGTTTCCTGGCCCCTTTATAGTCTCATCTTTTATTTGTTGACTGTTTCATCTCATCCACCTTGTTTTATTAATGTAGAACCATTCTCATGGTATCTTATGTGCCATTTTGTTATTTTGCTATAATGTTGATCTCAGGGGATAGTTTTGGTTCAAGGTTTTAAAAAAATTTTAGAACAGTAATTTCAGGGAATCATTTAATCTCAATTGGTCCAATAAGTCTAAATTTTTCTCTTTTTATAAATTTTATTTTGTTAATTTTAATGAACATTTACAGAGATTTTGGATTTCCATTCATTTATTGTTGCATTTTTCTTCCTGCGCACCCCTCCCCCCAGTTCCCTCTTCTTTTTGAAAAGTAGAAGAAAAATTCCTTCATTGGTATACAGTGCCCCCCCCACCCCAGTACACTCTGATATGCAACCTTCATTCTGAACTCTTGTGATAACCATAATGTTGTTGTTGTTATGTGCCATTGAGTCATTTGTGACTCATAGTGACTCTATGTACAAGAGCCCAGTGCCATTCTATCCTGTGCCAACCTCACTGTCTCAAACACATTCATTCCCACCACT